ACAATAGGCATCAAGTAGTATCGAATTGTTTGAATGAAGAAATGCGTCTCAATGAAAAAAAAACCATTCTTTATTCTTTTTCTCTGTTTCATCAAATCATTTCTAGAGTTTCTCTTGCTCTGTCTTTCAATCCACCGATGAATGTCAATACATAGAAACTAGGTTGTCTATGTGCATGCCAACGACATAACGCAGGCAGACGAGGCTTCCAAAAACAACGCATTAAAGAGCATTAAGATTTTGTAATAATGCCGTTTAAACGAAATATTATCGTTAACACGGCATTATTACGAAATTTTAAATAAGTTATAACACTTTCCTTGATTGTTAAACTGTTAAAATGAGTCACTTTTTCGAAAATTACGAGTTTTTCTGTTTGTCTTGCTATTGATTTTACGAGTTAAAACGCATTCACAAAACTGAATATTTTTTAATCCAGCAGTGTGTTAAGCGCAACTGGATTTTTTTTTTCTTTTGACACCGGTTTACTGCGTCTAATAGTGACTCACAGTAGCTCTCTTATTTAATAGAATTAAGGTTTTTTATACTAACCCATTCGCCATTATGTGGCTCGCCGGTGGGCGACGGCTATACACAGGTGAATATTTCCGCTTTAGTTTATTGATATGACATCGTTTCTTTTGTCAAATATAGATAAATGTTCAATGTTTTTATTCATATGAGAAAAATCGATAAATGCTGCGTTAAGACATGCTAAGTCGCTTCCACAAGGACAAAAAGATGAATCGCGAAGTGTGAAAATAATAATGTGCGCACTTGACAACTTCCAATTGTAAAACATTTAGTTTTATTTAAAATCAATAAAAATTTATGTGTTCTTGAATATTCTGCAACAAAAAAATCAGCCGGCTTTGTTGAAACTGACTGAGCTTGCAAAGCTTTACTTACGCACAGTAACTGATAGAAAATGTGCGACACATGTATTTTTCTGGGAATTGTACTATATCAAATTGTGTGGGTGAGGTGTGGGTGCAGATGTGGGATGCGGGTATGAGAAGAAGACCAACATCCACACTCACACCTACACCCACACTCACACCCCACCCACATCCTTGCCACACCCACCCTCAATTGTGTTCTTCTTTTTCATCAGAGCAATGAATCGATTTTTTTGTAGGTTGTGCAAATATACAGTTCTTTTTGAGTGTTTGATAACGTTTCTCTTATGAATATCCACTATGAACACCACATTATCACTGATAAAAGGATTCTCTCACTTATTTGACGTATGGTTTAGATATTCAATTTTTACTTCCGCCTAGCAAGTTTTGGTCCACCCTGTATTACATGACTTCAAATAAGATTTACTAGAAGAAATTTTCTCACTGAATCTTTTTTTCTTTTTACCTGATTTCTTAAATTGATGTTTCTTCAAACTATTACAATTCCTTCTATAACTGTAAAACAATTTTATTGCTGTTACTATTTATTTATTTTTTTTATTATCAAAATAGAATATTGAAAATACTTTGTTTTTATTTTCAAATTATAATAGTATATTAATAATATTGTGCGATAGATAAATAAATACAAAACTTTATAGAATAGTACATGATCTCGATTTATTATCTTGTTCTCACTTTTTTGAAGGCTGAGTTGCAACATTATTATTCAATGGTTTGTTAGCAGTTTTGTCTTGATGATGATCATCCGTACTTTTTGGATGATTATTCCTTTTATTTTTATATCTTGATTTTCCTTCAACGATGTTAATGTTTCTTGGTGTAGTTGCATCAAATGTACCTAAATATTGGTCACGATATGGTGTATCATGTTCACAATAAAAGATCCCTTTTTGTCGACATATTCCACAACGTAAATCTCTTTGTGTTTCCTTTTGAACGACGTGATTTGTCATTATAAAATAGAAATCTAAAGTATAGTATAAACTATTATTTTCTTTGCTATTCAATCAAACAAATAATTTTTCATTTAGAATTTCACTTGTATATGAATATTTAAATATCAACGAGACTATAGAAACGAATTTTATGATCTTATGCTACTCAGTTTTTTGTAGAAAAAGAATAAAAAAAATGATTTACAATTCCGTTTATTTACCTTTTGATTTCTAAAACAAATCAAATAATTGCGATGCAGCACAATGTGAAAATGAAACAAAAATATACATATATATAAAAAAAAAGCAAAAAACGACCTTTTTTTCATAAGTTGAAGGAACGTTAAAATATTTCTTTTTCTGTCTATTTGATTCTGTTTTTCTTCTACAATTTTGTCATGGACACAGATATGCTTAAAAAAAATCAAATATGTGACACATACGTTTCTCTTTTATTTAGTTTTTACTCACTTGAGTAAAACAAGAAAATTCGTAATCGAGACAACCGAACAGAAATAAAGTTCAATAGATACATAAATCATAAAATACGATAAAGACAATAACATGTCTAATGCGTATGCTATTTTGCATGGTCACTAATGTTGTCTTACACGTTATTTAATAAATCGAAAAAACTTCACAGAAATAGTTTATCAATGTTAATTTAGAAATTGTCCATTGAAGATATTTGTTAACAAATTGTAAAAGAAGTCATTGAAATGAAATATTTTTAAACTTAAAAGATATATCTATCATAGTCAAATATAATTGTATATTTGTATATTCAATAGTTTAAAAGTTGTTATAAGAAATTCTAATAAAACACATAGCAAATCATGTTTCTTCAAACGGATGACACGAACATGTGGACGGAAAAAGAGAGAAGAAATATATTTAAACACATCAAACAACGATCGATAGTGAAGACAAAAAATAATACCATAAAATTTCTATTTCATTGTATCTTTCAATATGAATTTTTTCCCTATCTTATTTGTTTTAATTACTTGTAATTTACCGTCCTTTTTGCTTAAATAGTATGAAAATATTAGCAAAAATTTTTTAGGATTGCGTCTAAGTCGTTTCTGTTGATTACACAAAATTTTTAGATCGTTTTATTTTGACAATTGACTTCTATAGAAACTTCTCCTTACAAACATCAATAGATCTTATAATAGAAGTTAATACTTAGTTATATATTTTTGTGGTCAGAGTAGCGTATAGCAAACAATCTCAAAGCCAAACCTTGGATTGAAAGGGTGTGAGTGTAGACCTTCTTCTTAGTCACACCCAAACTCACCCACACCCCAGGATAGCACACTAGTTGTTGACATCGCGTATTATTGGCACAGATTATTTGTGCAATGTAACAGGTGACATTATGAGAATTGCATCGAACCATGCTATCACATGAGAAAATAGCAACTGCACAAATGCCTGTAGTTTCATTTGTCGTCAATGAAAAACAGTCACAATCGAGGTTTGACGAGTATGGTAATGCAGATTTGGAATTGTAAGTAGATAGATCACAGGTGGCCAAGGATGAACTTGGCGTTGTTGTAGCTTGTTGAGCTGTAACATAAAAGAACAAGCTCACGTAAGCAACGGTCGTCGGCTGGAGAGCGTGTTAAGTCGAGACCCTAAGATCTTGCTCAATTTAAGAGAAACTGTCGAGATAACAGTTTTATGAATTTTCACACTAGATAAATTATAAATTAAAAAAAAAGACTCTAATACTACATTTGTTTAGACAACTGGTTATTTAAATTTATTAGCAAATTTTATAAATAGTGTAACACATGGTGCACTTCTTGGTGGAAGTTTTTCTGTTATTCCTTTAATAGGTTTAACAACACTTGCTAGAATATTAATTCATGAAATTCATCATGAAATTGGAGATTTTGCTATTCTTTTACGATCGGGTTTTGATCTTTGGCAAGCAACTAAAGCATAATTTTTGACTGGTCTAGGAGGAGTTATTGAAGCTTCTATTGCTCTTTTTTATTTGCATTTAATTCATAGTATAGAATATCAATCCTTTCTTAAATTTTTAATAAAAATAAATTTATTTTTATTTAGATACTTTATGGGTATTATCTTTAACTAGTGGTACTTTTCTTTATGTAGCTTTAGTTAAAACAGTACTTGATTTATTAAAAGAAAATGATTTAATGCATGATATCGAAGAAGAATTTTTAAAAATAATAATAATTATTGTATTTTTTTAGGCATTCATTTCGACAATTAATCGGCGTATCTGAAGATCTTTTTATTATTTATCTTATTGTTCTTTGTGTTGGATAAAATTTTAATTAATTAATTAATTTATTCCTTTTTTAATAGAACGAATAAATTGATTGTCTTAGAATTTCTATTTATGTTATTAAACATATCTGTTTAGGTAAAATTACTTTTTTTTTGTTTGCCTTTCATTGATTTGTTTCTCGCTGTTTAAAAATAATAAAAAAGGGCGAATAGATAGGAGTATTATGACATATTTGTTTATCTTTATCCTAAAAAAAAAGAAAACGAATAAAAGTTAAAATACTGATTCTCATATCAAATTTAGAAAAAAAAAAACATTAGTTTTTCTTCATTGGAATATATTATTCATATATGAACAATAAATTATTTATTAAAAATTCATAAGGAGAATTTTCTGTTCGATTATTTAAGATGAAATATTGTCAAATTCTCAAATTTTAATTGTATAAATCGACTCTTTAATTGGATATTAACAAATAAAAATCTACTTTGAACGAAAAAATAATTATCGATTAACATCAATTGAAGAATTTTTCAATATGAATAATATTAATATTTCTTTGTTGGATATTTATTCAAAATTATTTTGTATTCCATCAGTTTTTCTTCGAGTCAAAAAAATAAAAATTGAATTTATTGATAAATTCAAACTGATGAAAAGTTCTTTAACAATAAACTATTGAAACTTAATTATCTATTCTGTGTTAAAAGGTGTTTTAAAGAAAAAAATTATCTTCAAGAACAGAAAACAAATATAAAATACGATAGAGATTGAATATAATTACATACCATTAGAAATAAATTCAGAACAATTTGCTGCGCAAACAATAGAAAAACTTTCTTATCTTTTTAATCATATTGATTTTTGTTTAAGATTTTCATAAACGATAAATACTTTTATTTCATGTCTCAATTTTTCCGAAAAATGTTCAAACTTTTTAACAACTTCTATTCGAAAAACCAGCGTTTTTTTTTGGAGAAAATTCAATGATTTTTTTCGTTTTTTCTTGAGTTTATGTTTTTTTTGATCGTGCATCCAAAAGTTGTCTCTTTAAGTCTATCTAATATATGTATTTTGTTTTTGAAAGTGCATGTCAAGATTTAGGGTTTAATGTTGCCCTTTTCTGCAGTTACGTTTTTTCATACTATATATAGAGACACTTATATAGTATGGTGTCCGTTTTTCGACGGATCTTTCAATCATTGAGCTTGTAATCTCTGATTTGCACTTAAAAAGTAAGTATTTAAAAAAAAAAGTGGCAACATCATGCCTTACATCGTAACGTGCTCTTTCAGATAAAAAAGTTTACTATATATGGAATGAATCTAAAGAAAAAACTTTGAGACCCAAATGAGCTATTTTTGACTCTTGTTTGGTTAATATTCAGCTTACACATAAAGATTCAGAATTGAAAATCATATCATAGACTCCTCAGCCTGCCCAAAGATGTCCTCCTAATATCAGGTCTTTTGAACATTTCTAGACTTATATTCATTTTTAAGAAGGAGGGAAGGAGGAGGAGAAGCGGTTCAAAAACTATCAACAAAGTAATACATTGTTGGTTATTTTTTTCAATGATCAAATGTATCACTATGACTTATCTTTGGTGTGACTACAGTTCTATGCATAGACCACAAATCGATTGTAGATACCCACACTTCGATGAACTGCCATACATTTAAAGCAGACAAAAAAATGAGTTCTTGTCGGCGCCACAAAAGTTGTCTAACTTCTATAGCAATCGAAATCAAGATTGAGAACTCAATAAATAGAAACATTTTGAGAAGTAGAAAAAGAAAAAATATAAGACAATGATTACAATTAGTTTTCGATGTAATATTTCGAATTCCAAAGTGCTCTGATATCTATCCCAGTGCGCTCAAGTGAAGCTGCTAATTCTAAACTATAGATCATATCATCTGACAGAATTTATCAAACTTGATCTGCCTAAGTCACATATTCAATTAGTCAAAGCGATCAAACGAACACTAGAGCGATCTGTAAAATACGTTTATTTTCACAAATGGAAATAATAATAAATGTTTTCAAAAATATATTTCTGTTTTTCGAATCTTTCCATATATTAGCCCCACTAATCGATTGGAATGGACACAATTGGGCTCAATCTTGTGATTTCAATGGAAACGATTTGTCTCACGTAGAAGTTTCACCAGACCTCTGTGTTAGGGCATGTCTTCAAGCATCGGAATGCACACATTACACGTGGACAACGTATGCTGGTGGTACTTGTTGGATGAAAAAGGGAAATGTCTCCAAAACTGATGCATTTCTTACTAAGGATATACATATGATCTGTGGTATTAGAGATGGTAATCAATATAATTTCACCGTTGAATGGAATGAACAGAATCAGGCCAGATCTTGTGATTTCCATGGAAATGATTTGTCTAACGTAGAAATTTCATCCGATGCCTGTGTTAGGGTATGTGTTCAAACATCGGAATGCACTCATTATACATGGACAACGTATAATGGTGGTACTTGTTGGATGAAAAAGGGAAATGTCTCCAAAGCTAATGCATTTCTCACTAATGATGCAACCACGGCTTGTGGTGTGAAAGCAAGTGTATAATGTCTAGATACACAACATTCGAAATTTTTTGAACTTGGCATGATAGCATTGATTGACGAAAGTTTAGAGTTCTATATAAGTAGATGAAAGCATTTTGTTTTGTAAATAGTTTAATATCATATATAAGTAAACATATAATCACTTTAAAATAAAAAAATAACTTTGAAATTATTTTTTCAGCAAAACACTAATCTGATTCCATATAAAATACTTGTCGGAGATAGCGTAATGGTTCTATACATCTGATTGTTAGTCAGACATCACAAGACTCAATTTCTTCCTTCAGCTTGACGTCTTCAGTTTCAAGATATACAGTATTGGAAGAACAGCAATGCATGCCAACTTCATCATTACTGCTTATTTTTAGTGAAAATACTAGAAAACATGATGATTCTGTTGATATCCGATAAATCTTTAAAAGTCTGCATTTTGACCAAGTTTGATTAGAAAAGAAATAGTATAGATATTTTTTGTCGCCACTGTATATTTAAAAGAACCTTTCGCTCTCTACTATTGTATGAAAGGTGCACAGAAAAAGACGGATCTGAATCAGACGTAATATATACTTTCACACTTTCAAACATCGAATAGTATTTATTTAAACAAATAAATATACACATTATGCATTTATTTATTATTAGTTCTCAAATGTGAGGAAGATCTTCATAATGCTAATTATCGTTGTCGAGAAAATTTTAACGTGCTTTTGTTAATATCGAATTGAAAAATAATCTCTGAAAATATATTTGGATATTTGTAAACATTGAAAAACAAGAAATAAGAGTGTAGGTGTGTGAGTGTCGATTGAACTTGAACAACCACACCTACACCCTTTTGATGATGGAGATATGGGAACATTGATGATTGATGAAATTTTATTATGAGTAAATAATTTTTTATCTACACCATCTGTATGCTCTGTTTTGATGAAAGTAGATTGACGTGGGATGATTGTCTAAAAGAATCGAACGTTTCTCGAGAAAGCGATGAAAATGGATTGAGAGGTACTTCTTCAGAATACACACATCCTTTCACCCACGCTCGTTGTCGTGCCAACCAATGTGTGCATAGGATGTGTGTATTCTGAAGAAGAATCGATTGAGATAGGGTAACTGTCTAAAAGAAAGGAAATTTTTCACGATATGCGGTGGCTTGTGTGATAAACATCGTATGTCTTCGTATAAAAGAACAGGTTTAACTTCTTTAAAATCACATAAAAGTTGATGACCAGCGATAAGACGAAGTGTGAACGTTTGTTTGCATCAGTGAGAAAAACGACCGGAAACCTTTTCAGTAGATAGCATAGCTTGAAAACGAACCGAACCCGAATTGACTTTCGACTTTTTGGTTAGTCAAGCCGAATCTAAGTAAAAGTAATCATTTTCATTGTACAATATATATGTTGCTTAGGGTGTATTGAGCTATTGAGGACTGCAACGAGTTTTTATTCCCTGTGCTATAGAGCATAATAATTCTTAGTATAGTGAGATTGCTATTTTGTCTTGTTATCGATAGGATTCGTTGTTTATCGTGACAATCTGTCAATCGGTCGCAAGCTAATGCATAGTGGACTATTTTTTTTTCTTTTGGTGCTTCAGTCTTCTTACTCTTTCAGAGCAACACTATTACCTGATAGGCAATAGAATCATTAGAAATTACGATGCGATTGCACTCGTTCAGCATGATTATACGGTTTTTCGAGTAAATACGATTTGAACGGAACTGAACCGAACCCAAACCCGAAAACTGCGGTCGTTTCAAGCTCTGGTAGATAGCTTGTTCTGAAGTACATTGATTTTGTTTGCTTTGAACACGAATGATAACAGCCTTATTACAAAATTTAGGATTTAACGCATCAATATGTTTTTTAGCAAGTTCATAAAATTTTTCACGTGCAAAGTCATTGATAATAGGATGAGAATAAGTTGATTGTTGTAATGTCATTGTTGATATTGCAAAAGAAAATATCGAAAGCTATTTAACACTCAATGAACATTGTCTATGAAAACGAAAGAAATTGGTAGTTAGATGATATAAAATAATCACGAACAGAGAATGAATTCTGCCTAGTCAAAATTGAATTTGACAGAAGCGC